CGACTATTACCGATAGCCGCAGCCTTCTCCATCTCTCTACACTTTCCTACCCACCACTTCTCGCGGTCATTCCTCAGACTCTTGATGAGCTGGTGTTTAAGGAATTTGCGCGCTTTGTCGTATTTCGGATAGCGTAAATCCCTCAAGCGCCAGAAAGCGTCGTACTTCCTTCGACATAAAGGAAGTGCCTCTGTCTGAATGTATGTAAGCAGGCATTCCGAACAAGGAGAACAGTTGGCACAAACAACTGATGACAGTGCGACTGGTTAGATTAGCAAAGGGGAAAAAATGGAACCTCGGGTATTCGTCAATAACCATCAAGAGGTACAGATTTCGGGTCGAAGAGGACATTGGACCCTTGAAATCGATTGAAAATCTTCTGAACGGTTGTGTAGCTTTAATTACATGACCTCCGAAAGTGTGCTGGAACCGAGGTTTTAGCTCGGAACAGATCCCGCAATTGGTTGTTACGTTCCGTACTTAACCGATCGACAATGGCGTATTACGAGCTCTTATGAAATGCATCATACGAGAGACCCCTGGGTGACACAAGGAATCATGAAGTTCTCTGAGGTTCACTCCGGCGAGAAGAGCAGCAAAGCAAGATCGACAAAGTGCGTCAGCGGCCGTATTCAGCTTTCCAGGTCTATGCATAACATCGAAGCTGTAGGGGGACAGTTCTATTTTCCATCGTACGATTTTACCTTTCTTCAACGGTGCTGATTTCGGAAAATGAAGGAGACAAATCGCTGATCAGTGAAGAGTTTGAAATGATTGCCGAGTAGCCCGACACTTATTTCGGGACGGCTTCGCGCACGATTCTTTCTCAACTGCTGAATGATGTCTCTCCTCTTGAGTTGATGTTCTAGAAAATAACGCGACAAGGTGCGCTTCCTGATTCAACGTAGCAGCAATTGCCAAATTCAAGGCATCAGTTTCGATGACAAACGGCGTATTGAAGCGAATGGGTGATAGGCTCGCGATTGCTAGTTCATGCTTAAAACTTTCGAAGCTTTTTTTACTTGCGGAGTTATAGTAACGATTTACTTATGTACAACGGAATGGATTTTTTTCAGAAAAGTTCGAAATCCATGGTGAGTAGTAAGAGAAAAAACCCACTATCCTTTGTTGTGAGTTCAAATTCGTGGGTGGGATATTTCTTGCAAAGGGGTCCAACCGATCAGGATCAGGTTTGATGTTACCTTTCGCTATCTGAAAACCAAGCAGCGTGATTTCCTTCACACCTATAATGCTTTTGCCGTCGTTAGAAGGCAAGCCATGTTGTTTGGCAATGTTCAGCAAATCCGAGATTGCGGTCATGCTCCATTGCGTTTCTCCCACATGAAGTAATGTTTTCCATGTAGACAAACGTGTTTCTCAAATTTTCAAGAGAGATTATCCCATCGATAGCCGTCTGGAAACATGAAACGCCGTTCGTAACCCCTAAGGGAATATGACGAAAATGATATAAACATCCACATGCCTCAAAAGCAGTAAAAATGTTTTTCTTCCTGAACAGGGATTTGATAGTATGCAGTTTTGAGGTGTAGAGTGCTAAAGATGCTGTATTGAGCTATGTTCTCTATCATCTCGTCGATTCTGTGAAGAGAATATGCACTTAAGCTGGTGAACTTGTTGTTTATTTGGCTATAGTCCGCCACCAATCTCCGTTTGTAGTTTTCATTACTGATATNTGATATCCAGCACTCGAGAGCGCCACGGTGAGTTGGAGGCTTCAATGATACCGTCAAACAGGAGTCGATTTTTTTCTTTGCGTATGGAGGTCTGATCTTCCTCGCTGTATCGGCGGGATTTTGTAGCAACAGGCTTACCATGTAGAGACACATTCTGAAAAAGTAACGGAGACACTATGGGAGCAGGCCTGAGTGAGCATACCGTAAACGGAATCTTCGCTACGCCGAATGATACATGAACGCCCTTGTGAAGGCTGAAAAAGTCATGTCCGAGGAGCACATCTGAACATAGGTCACTGAGTATGGATAGTTTGAAACGTTCATAGACATGGTTTTTTTTATGAAGATAAAGCAACGCCCCTTGTACTGCTGGATTGAGAACTTGACACCACGCCGTCGCCCACTGGAGCAAGTGGTTGACCGCCATAGATTACGTTGGGTGGGGCATGTTATGCATTCCATTTCACCTGTTCACCGAGCTTGGCAATTTGTTTGCAAACGTTTCATCATCAGCCGAGGTGACATCGTCAGTGCTTGTAAAGTGGCAGTGTTGGTTGGTATATATATATGGTTTATATATGTTCTTCTCCACCGACTATTTTTGTCCCTTGTTCTCATTGTGTTCGACTCGGTTCGCCGTTAAACTGGTGCGCAGGAGTGA